GTAGCAGGGGAAGTGCCGGGCCGCCGGGAGCTGTGGGGCGGGAGGGATGCCCCTCCATGTGAAATGGCCTTTCCCCGCCGTGCCGCCGGTCACCTGGACCCTGGCCAGCAGCGTCGTCATGGGCCTGGTGGGCACCTACAGCTGCTTCTGGACCAGTGAGTGGGCTTGGCTTGGGGGGAGCCCTGGGCCTCAGGGGAGAAGGAGGCCAAGACCCCCACGCTCTTTCTGTCCCCACCAGAGTGCATGAACCGCCTCACCGTCCACAACAAGGAAGTGCTGTATGAGCTCATCGAGAACCGCGGCCCAGCCACGCCCCTCATCACGGTCTCCAATCACCAGTCCTGCATGGATGACCCTCATCTCTGGGGTACACGGGCCAGTGTGCTGGGCGCAGGGAGGCAGGGAGAGAACCCCGGAAAGGGCCAAACAGAAGCAGAACAAAGTCACTTGCCACTGGGCTCTTCAGAGCTCTGGGACTACTGTTTCCGGGGCATCCAGCCCCAGTGTGACCCCTCCAGCGTCCTCTCAGGGAAGGTGCTTTGGAGAGGGCCTCAGAAGTTTGGAGGGAAGGAGGAAGCGAGGAAATGGCCACAGGGCAAGGTCTGACCATTTACTCTGTTGCAGCAGGCCTGTGGAACCTGTTTTCTAAATCGTGGAAGGTCCCACAGAGTCTTGGAGTCTTGGGAACAAATCCGAGGACCCGTCAAGGAAACTCTGGGTTAGGGGCTGAGAGATCCGAGAGACCTGTATCCTGGTTCCAGGTTTGCCCCAGGCTGGGTTTGTACCCTTCAGCCAACCTTATTCGGGAGCCCAGTTTCCCACCTACAAGTTCCTGCCCTACTGACTTCACAGGGACGTGCTTGGCTGCCATAACCTGGATGGCTGGGTGCGGGGGTGTCCAGAGCTTTCACTGCTGAATGCAGGAGGTTAGACTCTCCTACAGCTCAGGGGCCGTGGTCAGCAAACTGAGACTTGCGAGCCACATGCGGCTCTTTGGCCCCTCGAGTGTGGCCCTTCCACAAAATACCACGTGCGGGCGCGCACGTACAGTGCGATTGAAACTTTGCAGCCCATGCGCAGAAGTTGGTTTTCAGCCTGGGCGAGTCTATTTTGAAGAAGTCCCGTTGATATTTGGCTCTGTTGACTAATGAGTTTGCCGACCGCTGCTCAGGGGCAACCACCTGGTAAAATCAGCCTTTCAGAACTCATCCTGGCTGCTGGGCAGAGAATGGTCTGTGAGTGCCACCACCAGATCCCAGGAGGCTTTTAAAAATTACATATATTTGAATTTATTTCAGAGAGGAAGAGAGAGATAGAAACATCAGTGATGAGAGAGACTCATCAGTCGGCTGTCTCCTTAACATCCCACACAGGGGACTGAGCCTCCAACCGGGGCATATGCCCTTGACTGGAAATCGAACCATGACCTTCTGGTTCACAGTTGACGCTCAACCCCTGAGACATTCCAGCTGGGCAGGAAGGTTGGCGACTGCTGGAGAGCATTCCAGTAGCCTGGACTAAGGTGGTAGTGGTGAAACTGGAGAGAGATATAGAATAGGCAGCATCAAAATATATTGGGGAAGTAGGCAGACCAGACATGGTGACTAATAAAACATGGGGAGTGGTGCAGAGCAAGGAGCCAGCGAGAACTTGGGGGTCCGGTCCAAGGGACCAGAAGATGCCACTTTGGGCCACTGGGAAATGGTAGTGCTGCTACCCTTGTCCCTCATTCTCTGAAGTGGGGTGACAGAAAAAGGTGCTCCCCGGGAACAAGGTAAGTTGAGGCATGAAAGCTTTCCTCTTCTCCAGGGATCCTGAAACTCCGCCACATCTGGAACCTGAAGTTGATGCGTTGGTGAGGAGGAATGAGCCCCTCCCAATGGGCCCGGCAGGGCAGGACTCACCCGTCTCTGCCCAGATTTGCCTTCCTCCTGCTCTGACCAGGAGGCGGCATCCAGCAGCCCAGGCAGGGCATGGGGTGGGGCGCCGCAGGTCCTCTGTGCCTACATTTCACATCGCTGACGGTGCCAGGAGTCACGCTCGGGGTGGGGAGGGTGGAGAAGCAGGGCGCAGAGGAGGCAGGGATGACTGTGGCTGTCCCCACTCCAGGACCCCCGCAGCTGCAGACATCTGTTTCACCAAGGAGCTGCATTCTCACTTTTTCAGCCTGGGCAAGTGCGTGCCTGTTTGCCGAGGTGAGTTACTCCCCCGGGAGGGGCTGGTGGGCCGGTGGGTGCATGGAAACGCTTCTGCAGGTTTCTCTGGCTTGGGCTTGGAGCAGGTAGCCTGGTGGCCTGTGCATCTGGCTTGGCAACACTGGAGGTGGAGGGACGCAGGTGGGACAGGCAGCCTGGGAGAAGGGGGCCAGGGAGCCAGCGAGCGCTGCCCATTAGCCTGAGGCCCAGCTCCATTGCTGGAGGAATGCTGGCTCCTCTGCACCTGCCTGAGGATTGTGCGAACCTGGGGCTCTGGCATTAGAAGTCAAGGAGGCATGCCCTGGTCGGTTTGGCTCAGTGGATAGAGCATAGGCTGACGGACTGAAGGGTCCTGGGTTCAATTCCTGTCAAGAGCAGGTAACTCGGTTGCAGGCTCGATCCTCGGCCCTGGTTGGGGCACGTGTGGGAGGCAACCAATCAATGTGTCTCTCTCACTGATGTTTCTCTCTCTGTGTCTCTCCCCCTCCCTTCCACTCTCTCTAAAAATCAATGGGAAAATATCCTCAGGTGAGGATTAACAAACAAACAAACAAACAAAAGAAGTCACTGGTGGCAGTGTGTTATCTGCGGTGCTGGTGGCTTGTGCTGCCAGCTGCAGGGAAAACACGCTTGTGGAGGGAAGTGTGTAACATTGAATGACTACTCGGCACCTCTGAAGAGCCTCGGGAGGTAGGGGCCATTCTGGTACCCATTCTCCACATAAGGAAGGATTAAGCTGCTGGCCCAAGGTCATTGGGCGAGAGGTGGCAGAGCCAGGATTCAAATCCAGGTTGCTCTTTTCTCTGGGGAAATAGAATATTTCCCAACAGAATGTGAAAGGAAAAGCATTCTAGACGCACATGGCAGGCACTAGAGAGGTTGTCCATAAGGGTAGGAAATGCAGGTTGTAGCCCAGTTGGCCTGGCTCAGTAGTTGAGCGTCGACCTATGAACCAGGAGGTCACGGTTGGATTCCCGGTCAGGGCACATGCCCATGTTGTGGGCTCAATTCCTAGTAGGGGGTGTTCAGGAGGCAGCCAATCAATGATTCTCTCTCATCATTGATGTTTCTCTCTCCCTCTCCCTTCCTCTCTGAAACCAATAGAAATATATACATTTTTTAAAAAAAGAACAGTTGGGAATAAAGATACTGGGGACTCA